AATAGTGCATTCAGAATTTTCAGAAATTCGCCCGCTCGATTTAATCGAGCCGGCTCGACGAGCCCTCGAGCTGGACATGGTTTATATCGAACTCGAGCTCGTTAATAGATCGAGCTCGAAATTAAGCTCGAACTGAGCTCGAAGCTCGATAAGCTCAGATCGCGAGCTCGTTTACGAGTCGAGCTCGAGTCAGCTCGCGAGTCGGCTTCACTCGCTTACACCCCTAACCGCTCCTAGCCAGTTTCAAACCCATGCCAGTCCGGGCCTGTTATCATTTTATTCATATCAATAATAAAAAACTTCAATTTGATTGTCTAGTAAGATGAGATCTATTTATGAAAAATATGATAGATAAACACTACAGGAAAACCCGTTATTACCAGCGGACTAAATCTGTCGGAACATATAGATAATCCGACGGAACTATAGGTTTCCGGCGCACGTTTCGGCTGAAATTTATACGCCGGTTTTGGTCGCGTCGATAATTTTTTTTCGACGAATGTAATACGCCGGAAAACATTCCGGCGCACGTACCGACGTCTTACCGGCGTAAAACATCGGGTTGGTGCCGACGACCATGCGACAGAATCGGTTCAGAGCTCGTTTTACCGACGCCATTACCGTCGCATGGAGATGCCAGAAAATTTCCGTCGTATTATGCGCCGACAAATGCGTCATAATTTTTCCGTCGCAAGATTCAGGAGCATTCCGCCGTTACCTGCGTCGTTCATTATGGCGCAAAAAAATCCGCCGGAAAATTCGACGGTAATCGCGTGTTTTCCCGTAGTGAAAATTTTTCAAGCACAATAGTCATTCTTTATGAAAAGCTAAAAATGATTGAGTAGATTCAAAAATGCCACACTTATAAGTAAATAAGTATTAATTTTAACACACATGTTGTTGAGCTCTTGAAATTGCATATCTATAATAGTGTAAAATTATTTGATTTGATAATGATGTCTATTTATTATACTTTTAGTACGACATCTTAATCTTCCTCGCAGCACAAATGTATTAGTTATGTCTAGAATATTTATGTTATTCTTCTCACAAAATAATCCAAGTTCCTTAAATAAATTATCTCACCCATTATTTTTCATATTTGAAGTCTTTGTTTAGAAACTTTGACCAAAAGCATGACAATTATAATGTCTTGATCCTTTTTTTGAAGTATTTGGGATAACTCATTTGTAACTCGTAATGTAGTTTTCATCATATGCAAATTAAAAACAAATTTAAAAGCTTGCTTGGATGTAAGTAGAGAATATGCTTCGCCTTTTTGCTCATTGCTAGATCCCTCATGTATCAATATCTCAAGAACCTCTGTTATAGACCCATATAGTAGAATTAAATTAATGAGTGAATTATAATCAGAATCCTAACGAATGTCTCGTGGTCTTTGAAAAGCAATTTCTTGATTTAAACCTCTACCTTTGGCAACTCCTTAACTTTCTAGTTGCTCAAATATTTTGTCATAATACTTTCCTCTTAGCATATCTCTTATTTTGCTTGAACTATCAATGATATTTAACAAACTAGTCACATTATTAAAGAAGAAAGTAACTTGGACATGATTCTTTCTGACTGTAACTAATGCTAATTGGAATTGATGTGTAAAATAATACACATAATAAGCTAAATAATTTTCTTTCATGATTAATGTTTTTAGTCCATCAAACTCACCTCATATGTTACTTGCTCCATCGTAACCTTGACTATGTAGTTGAGCCACACTCAACGCATACTTTGAAAAAAGTGATTCGATAACCAACTTTAGTGTTAGAACTGACATGTCCCCAACATGAACAATCCCAATAAAATGTTCAATAATACATTCACATGTATCAACATAACATAATGCAACATCAACTTATTCTTTAATTAATATATCACGAGATTCATTAAGTAAAATCGCAAATATATCATTTCTTAATTCATCGATTATAATATTTGAAACCTTAATTGTTGTAGCTTATATGATTTCTTTTTGGATTTCTAGAGCTATTAATTTATTATTTTGAGGAGCGTTTTCAAAAATAACTGTATTTATATCTTCATTATGTCTAGCAAGAAAACACAAAAGTTTAAGAAATTTCCCTTGATTTTTTGAATTCTCAGATATATCAGGCCCATGCACGGAATGCTAATCCTTATTGCAAAAGAAAATGTACACAATCAACACTTGCATTTAATCGTGTACGATAATCTTTGTGATTTTGATCAAAAGGCCTTTCAAAAATAAATATGATATCTCTTTTTTGATTCATTAAGTCTTCATACTTATGTTTAGAAATATTGTGTGTACTGTTGATATTACCGACATGAATATTTCCAATTTTTAAAACTCTTCATGCCAAAACTATCACCGCTAGACTGTTTACCATTTTGAGGTCTATACAGATAACAAACAAAACAATAAGTTGTAAGTTTGCTTGTACTATATTCTAACCAAACTTTGTATTCATTAAACCATACATGATTAAATCTATATAATTTATCCCCATTTTTTTTACGTTGGAATTCATGATCATGCAGTCGACACGGTCATTTTAGTAAGTAATTTCTTCGAACACTATCCCTTTCATTAGGATGAAAATCCATAATTCTGTTCTCAATGCAGGATCGGTAGGGATATTAGTAAAATCTGTTTCTACAAAGACTGGTTGAATTTGAGTATTTTTTCCTCACATAAAAGTTTCTCATCATCTCCTTCAATTTTTTTTTTTTTTTGAAATACATTTCCATATCTAATTTTAATAATAGCTAGTTTAAGAATTTTATGCTTGCAACAAAAATAATTATATGCTGGTAAATTAATTAATAACTTAAAAAATATACTAGTCAATTATTACATATCAGTAGATCACTTACAATTCTTTGATTCTAGAAGTGTTAAGTGATAGATGGCTCATGACTTGCTTCCAAATATCTAGGGTTGCAAGTGAAATAAACGTTCAACGAGCTACTCTTTGCTCGGTTCAATTAAAGCTTATTTGTGATCGTTTAATTAACTAAACATATAAATTTGAACAATATTTTAAATACTCGATCCTTAAAAAACAAGCTTGAACACTAATATGTTCAACTCATTTATATTCATGAACAACATCATTTGAAGCTTGTGAACAAGCTCGATATTACGCTCGATAAGAACCTCGATTCGTGTTCGATTCAGAACTCGTGAATAAGCTCAATAAAAACTTAATTAATATTTGATTATAAAATTGATAAATATATATAATAGAAATATTTTATATTTAGTATAACTATATAATTATTGTTAAATAATAAAGTGTAAAGTAATTAAATATTATAATATATGCTAATTAAATATAAGATGAATCATAGGTATTTTGTTCGTGAATGAGCTCTTTTGATAGCTCGAAAAAACTAGTTAGATACGTTCTTGAACTTGCTCATTTGATAGCTCAATAATCCTTGTTAGATATGTTCATGACCATGTTTTTTTGATAGTTTAAAAAAATTGCTAAATATGTCCACGAACATACTCGATGTTATTATTTATTATGAGGTTCGATAAAGCTTGTTTGTTAAGTTAATAAACATCTAAAAGTAGAGCTCATTTATAGCACATTAAGGCATATTTGTTTAAAGCTCGATTAGCACTAAACGAATAGAACGTGAACCGAACATGAACCAAACATGAACACATTAATTTAAACGAACCAAACATGAACACAAACAATAAAGCTCGAATCAAACACAAACCAAACTTGAACAAACTGATAATAAATGAACTTAAACATGAACACTCATTTACTCGGCTCAATTAATTTGCAGCCCTACAAGTATCTCAAGAAATCACCTTAACATTACTACTTCTACTGTTCTACATTTATAATTCCTGGAAAGTGGAAACTATTTCACAAGTGGTTAATACTAATTAGAATCAAATACCTTTTGATTTCTCAAATCTTCCAAAGAGCAGGAGCAACTAAGCAGGTCCTCCACGCGAAATATGCTGCCTACCCGCAGGCTTCGTCCGCCCTTTCTCCATCCGGTCGCTAGTCGGGGCCCCGCCATGAACAAGAAGGAGATCTCATTTGAACGTTTTGCGGTTTCCCACTTTTGATTCCTGTCGCAGAGTTTCTGTCGTTATGTCCACCAAATAGAACAGTGCATCGGTAATTTCAGAACTAAAAACCCTAAAAGCTATTTTAATTATAATTATATAGTAATAAATACATTTAATTATACATTAATTAAAAAGTCAATGGAGACCAGTGCCCCAAGCCCCCCATAGTAAATCCACCGCTTAGTGATAGGCAGTTGATAATGAGTAGCAACAATGGGTTTACTATGGTTATAAAGACATTAAAAATAAATTAGATAATATTTTCTTAGTACATTTAAAAGTTGCACAGTATTTAATTTTTATTTTTTAATGCAATTAAATAATAAAATTTTTAAAACAAAATGTATTTTGTTTCCAAATATAAATGTGCTTTTAAAAGTTCGGGAACTCGTGTACTCTTTTCAAAAAATTAATCAAATTTATTCGTGCAGGAATCAATCTCTTTTAAATTATTTGATAACAAAGCATTTCCGAAGGTCCAACGCCCCACTCGCAGATGTGACCGAAGAACAATATCTTATCTCTATTGGTAACTTTGCTTCGGAAATAACCCTGGGGATATTTTCGTACCATCCTCTCGGGCACCACAATTTAACTCGGCACGCGGCAGCATACGGTACGCTGATTGGCGGCCCAGGCCTGTCTGCGCTACTGACACGTTTAATCTTGCCGTCCAAAAATATTAAAAGGCACCCAATTGTTTACACCCACCACGCACTCGCATTCTTATTACTTGACACGCGTCTGTGCTAAATGAGTTTTGTTTACGCTATCAACAACCGACAAGCTGTACCCTGTCATATATTCATAATTCCGTAATTATCTAAATTAACTAAATAAAGTACTTTTTCGCTTAATATTTTTTTTTAATTATTGTGATTGATCGAGATATATTTATGAGATTGGTGAAGAACAAGGTCAGAGGCATCTACTTTTCTACTTATGACTTCTGGAGCTTTCTTCGATGGATCTAGGGTTTGCGGTGATCTCTTCTTGCACTGCCGGCGGGCGATTTGATCTTGGGTTTCTTTATCCAACGATCGTTCGGAGGATCGGGAGTTTTTGTAGGGGAGTGACGTTCCAAGGTGGATGATTTGGCTTTATATATTGATCTCCATCTGATCTGCGAAGAAGAAGGTATGATTGTGCTTTACTTATCATTTCTGTTCTTTCTCTGAGATGAGGTTGCACTGTTTGATTTAGGTGGAGAAGTTGAGGTTTTTTCTCAGAACTTGCTTTTGCGCACCGCCCTGGTTTACACGCTTGACAACGAGAGAGAGCACGCTGGTCAGCACTCATGGGATGGCTTCCATGACTGTTTACTGGCGTGCTCTTTCTCGTTGTCATCCATTTTTCTTTGCCAAGGCTGCAGAATCACGAGCATCCTCATGTATGTTCATTTGGCGCGCTCAATGAGCTTTGCTCTTTTTTCAGAGTTGAGCACCGCTGTTGGGTTAGATAATCCATGAGCCCCAATATCTGGTACGGAAGATGTTCTTTTAAGTTGAAAATTTGCATATTTACTTCAAAGTTTGGGTTTGTTTTATACTTTATGTTTTTATTGTCTTAAACTTTATATAGTGTAGCATATCCCCGGCGATATTTAGCTATATATGTTTCTAATTTGGGAGGTTTCTTCTTCCTTATTTGCGACTGCCAAGCTTGACTGTTTTTTCGATTATTACATGAATTAGTTTCAGAATATTAAACCTTCATATGTTTTCCTTGTGATAATAGTATTTTTCTCTTGTCTTGTTTAGTTTTCATGAGGATTAAATCCATTACAAGCTTGTAGCAAGCATAACTCATAGACAAATTTGATATCATATTATACCCCTTATGGTGCTAACTATTTGATTATCACATAACAGTTCTGTAATTAGTTTTGATTTGATATTCTTATCCTCATGCTCAAGCTTTAAACGAAAGCATGAGCTTCACATTGTATGCGTCGGAAGGCCATGATACTCTTTGTGCTATATTCTTGCCACTGTTTATGTACTGTACACCTTAGGTTTGATATGACGTTATATGTTATCGTTATCTTCAGATCTGTATGTATCTGAACTATGAAGTACATGACGCTGTTTGGGTTCTCCGTTGCCACTTCTTATGTGCATCCCTTGGAGCAAGTGATGATAAGAATTAGCTGTTGATTGAGAGAAATTATTCCGTGCGGAGTCTGGACGGTAAAGAAATGTCCAGATGTGAGTGTACACTAAGTATAGTTTCGAGCATAGTTTGATTTTTTTAATACACAGTGTATACGAACACTGTGTACACTCACATTCAGATGATTCTTTACCGTCCAGACTCCCCTCGTTGATTGAACTAATGTCACAGTGATCTGTACATGTCTTTATACCCTGAAAAACTTTGGGTAGCTAGATATCCTGATGTTACTCTGGCCTTCAGGTGATTGATATTCAAGATATTGATTATTAACAGTGATTAATGTCAAATTGCCAACTTTATACATCGTATCCTCTTCTATGCTGTTTTTTTAATTTAATATTTTATAGTATCTTATGTTCCTAGAATGATCAAGTGGATAGGCCAAAATCCATGGTTTATTGTACTATTAAATGTTTCTTATGCGAGGAATTGGATTGTACACTAGGTTGTGTTCATAAAATGGTATTTGTCTGGAAGAAACATTGTTTGCATTATGAGGAGACTGAGCACAATATGTGACTAAGACATCTGACTTTTTATATGGTCCTTTATTGTCGCTTTCCAAGGAACGGAAGGCCATCGTAATTCCGAAACTCTTGTACTGTTTTGTGAGATATTGATATATATTCTTATTTTACTGTACTTCAATTGGAATTTTTTGGCGTTTACAGCATTCAGAATGTTTTATTTTCTTATTTTATTCTTTAACTCATTTGTTTTTTTTTTTAATTTCTTTCTATATTTTTATGGTTTCTGATAGTGATTTCTTGAAGCGTACTTGAAACTGAAACACTCCTGACGCATCATTTTACATCTATCTGGAACATGAATATTCCCAAATGTTAAATGTCTCTAAAATTTGGTTTAAGATTTTTTCCCACAAGCTATGTAAGTGTAGCTTGAAATTATTCACTTTGTAGATATATTTAGATTATACTGAAAATATTCTATAATGAAAGGTTGGTGGAAGATTGAAATTGAACTTCTATTCATCATCATCAAAATTAACTTTAGCCTTTCATCAAAATCATCATTAGCCTTATCTAATCCATTTAAGACTAATTTTATTAATCTTCATTTGTTATTCATTCTTGTTGACATTTTTGTTGAAATGTTAAGTCAATTAATTTTTTTTTTGCACATTGTTTATTAATGTTATATTTTGTCTATTCATTTTTCTTGATAACCCATTCACAATTATTTTATCAGCTTTTCCATTTCTTCTATTCTTCATTATACTTCTCTATAATTCGGAGATCATTTTCTATTACTTAATCTTTAATTTGGCATTTCTTTGGCCCTCATATAACCATTAGCTCATCTAACTTAATAGTTTTTTTTTCCACACTCAACTTGACTAATAATATCTTTATCTCCCAGTACCCAAATCCATATAATATAGCTATTTTAATTGTAGTTTTACACAACTTTTTGAAAGACTATGACTAGTGATTAATTTAGATATATTAGAAATGTCCTAGAATGGTGCAAATATCAAGGTGCTTGAGTTCATATAAGGGTGGCCCCTCCTTAATTATAGTAAGCTTAAGCATGACAAAGTTCATTATTCAAAAACTTCTTTCTACTTAATCCTATCTTTCCATTTTCTCCTTCAATCCTTTAAAGCTCTCTCATCTTTGCAAATTCATACATTTCCCAGTCACTCAATAATGGTATCAAAGCCTTATTTTGATTGTAGGTGTTTACCTATGCATAGGTGGCATTGTATTAATGGCCAACTTTACAGCATCAAATTCAAAATTGATCGTCATATTTAATCTACTCTTTATCTTTGATGGAGAAAATTATGATGTTTGGAAGAACAAGATGCAAGTTGTGTTCTAATTGCAATCTTTGGCTATTTGCCAATCCACTTATCAAGTGCTAATAATTGAGAATCAACACATAAAACTGAGCAATTGTAGGTGAAAAATGAATTGTCAATAAAACCCATGTTGCAAATATTTTTCTAGTGGATATTATGTCAAAAAATAACTATAATGAGTTGTGATGTCTTATTATGTGAAAATTTATTGTATTTGCTCCACCATGAAAAATTCATCAGAATTGTTCTATAAAAAATTTGTTGATAAGTGCACTAGAATTTACCTAGCGAAATATGTGTGGGGGAACTTTTCGGAGTGACTTTTTGCCCTTAATTCGTCGTAAACCTAGAGTTTTTGGGTCTTAGAAAAACTAGCAGCACAAACCATCCCTAGAATGTCGATCATCTACATCATATCACAATTTTGAAATCATATCAAGCCTTTTATATTCTTAATTCAATGTCTACATAACTATAATCTAATTGAATAACTTGTAACATTAAATGTGTGGTGGAGAATTTTTCCGAGTGACTTTTTGCCCTTAATTCATCGTAAACCTAGAGTTTTTGGGTATTAGAAAGACTAGCAGCACAAACCATCCCTAGAATGTCGATCATCTACATCATATCACAATTTTGAAATCATATCAAGCATTTTATATTCTTAATTCAATGTCTACATACTGTAATCTAATTGAATAACTTGTGACATTAAATAACATCAATGAGGAAAGTGATAGGAAACACTTGAAGATTTCAAGTAAAACCTATCAATAGAGATAAAAATCATCAAAATGCTCCAAAAATTTCATGGAAAAATCAACAAAAAAGTAAATTTTATTGAAGAAATCAAACTAACGGAAGAAATAAAACAAGATACAATTGATCCTCTATTCAAGAGGAGGATCTATCTCTCCCAAATCTCTAGACCGCTAGAGCCCAAAAAAAACTAAACCTAAGAGATCTCAAGTTTTAGCTAAATTCAAGATGAAACCCTAACCCCTACAAGAGAAACTATTTAAAGCAAAGAATATTACAAAATCTCTAAACAGCCCCTAATTCAAATTTTCCCTCCCAAAGCAATATTTAATTGAGTTGTTCCCTCCCAAAGCAATATTAATTGAGTTGTTCCCTCCCAAAATAACATTTAATTGAGTTGTTCCCTCCCAAAACATTATTTAATTGAATTGTTCCCTCCCAAAGCATTATTTAATTGAATCTCCTAATTCAAATTGGACCGGTCTAACAATTATCTCCTCCCAAAGATCTACCTTGTCCTCAAGGTGGAAGGATGAGACATTGTTGATAGCTTTGTTCAGCTGCTCTGTTAGTGGCTATGTTATTGTCCATTGGAACAAAGCTAAAGCTTTCCTCTTTAGACATAGCCATGCAACCATAAACTTCACCTTCTCAGTCAACCCATTCACCATGAAATATATCTTTACCCGGTACACCCACCCATAAGCATCCTCCCTTTTAAATTTTACCCAACTTCCTTACCCTTGGATTACTACCACCCCAATAGCTTCTTCATTCTCCAACTGTCCAACATAGTGGTTGTCGTGATCCCTCCATGTTTCTCTCATGTATCGTGGGTGGGAATCCCACCTTCCTTCCCTTCGCCTCACATGACCCCTGATCCCCATGGTTCGGCCCATCCCCCTCCTTCGGTCATCCTCTTCCCTTGCCCAAAATATCTCCCATAGGAGTCGGCCACCCCACCACCTTCACCACGAAATGCCCTTCCACTGTCCCCCCATATGAACCCTATTCTGCTCCTTTTCGGAGCCCTAGGAGGTAACTCTTGACCCCCTCCTCCGATAACTTCCCTTGCTCAAAAATACCTCTCATAGTGATCGGCCGCACTACCGCCTCCACCAAAAAAATTCATCTTTGTTGTCCCCTCATCCAGAGACCCTGATCCACTCTTTATCAGAGCTATAGGAGGTGGCACTTGATGAAAGAAATTCCCCTTGTCAAACTCTTGCTTCGCTTCGGCCAAGGGAATCCCGGTCAAATCTTGGTTAGGGTTAGCCATCAGAACAACTCTTGAAGTTTTGTTTGCATCTCCTAGAGCCTTCTTAACATCTCCTCCACTCTTCTAAATCGGTTTTCGATATGGTTTTCCATATATGAAAATCTTTCTTTCATGGTAGAGAACTTCTCCACGCTGGTTTTGAATTGCTCCATCTCGCCTTCCAGTGCCTACATCTTCTTAGCTATCATTAATGAGATCTTGGCTCCAATTGCAAAAACAACGAAGATATCATATTTTTCCGCCCAAGAACACACTCTGATACTAATTTGATAGGAAACACTTGAAGATTTCAAGTAAAACCTATCAATAGAGACGAAAAACAACAAAATGCTCCACAAATTCCATGAAAAAACAACAAAACAGTAAATTTTATTGAAGAAATCAAACTAACATACGAAATAAAGCAAGATACAATTGATCATCTATTTGAGAGGAGGATCTATCTCTCCCAAATTTCTAGACACCGCTAGAGAAAAAAAAAATTAAACCTAAGAGATCTCAAATTTCAGCCAAATTCAAGATGAAACCCTAACCCTTACAAGAAATTATTTAAAGCAAAGAATATTGCAAAATCCCTAAACAACCCCTAATTCAAATTTTTCCTCCTAAAGCAATATTTAATTGAGTTGTTCCCTCCCAAAGCAATATTAATTGAGTTGTTCCCTCCTAAAATAATATTTAATTGAGTTGTTACCTCCCAAAGCAATATTTAATCGAGTTGTTCCCTCTAAAACAATATTTAATTGAATCCCCTAATTTAAATTGGACAGGTCAAACAATACTCTCCTCCCAAAGATCCACCTTGTCCTCAAGGTGGAAGGATGGGAAACACTTGAAGATTTCAAGTAAAATCTATCAATAGAGACGAAAGATAGCAAAATGCTCCACAAATTTCATGGGAAAATTAACAAAACAATATTTTTTATTGAAGAAATCAAACTAACTGAAGAAATAAAGCAAGATACAATTGATCCTTTATTTGAGAGGAGGATCTATCTTTCCCAAATCTCTAGACGCCGTTAGAGAAAAAATAAATAAATAAATAAACCTAAGAAATCTCAAATTTCAACCAAATTCAAGATGAAACCCTAACACTTACAAGAGAAATTATTTAAAGCAAATAATATTACAAAATCCTTAAACAACCCCTAATTCAAATTTTCCCTCCCAAAGCAATATTTAATTGAGTTCTTCACTCCCAAAAAATATTTAATTAAGTTGTTCCCTACCAAAATTTTATTTAATTGAGTTGTTCCCTCCCAAAGCAATATTTAATTTAATTGAGTTCTTCCCTCCAAAGCAATATTTAATTGAATCCCCTAATTCAAATTGTACCGATCTAACAAAAAGTAATATAATTTTTTTAAGCCTATTAATTTTTGTTTCACTCCTTTCTCTCTCTCTTGCGTTTTTGCTCCTCACTTTCCTCCTCATCGTCATTGTATTCCTTCTCACATCATTCTATTTTGCATTGTTGACTCATTCATTGTGCAATGATTCATTAATTATTGCTTGCCTTGCAGCATATATATACATTTTAGCATTCATACATTGTATTCATATGTTGGAAATTCTCAAACATTGTAACAACATAACACATTACTTTTTTTACATCACAATCTTCTATAGCCAAATAGGAGATATAGAAGGATCACTATAGGAAAGTTTGCGGCGGACTTTACTGTGTGTATTTATTTTTGCTGAAAATGACGATGAATTTGCAATGGAAATTTTCAACGAATTTTTTTTTGCGACGGATTTGCGGAGGATTTTCCGCCGCCAATTTGCGGCAGAAATTGCCACTGCAAAGTCGCCCCAAGCAGAGTTATAATATAAAAAAAAGCTTTATGTTTTGATTTGTCTCCGCAACCGAATGGAGAAGGGAGTTAGTTTAAGTGAGGTGTAGGTTTAAATCTCGGTTAGGCGAGATATGGTGCGGGCGGTCCGGTCAGGTCGGTTAGACGGGATATGGCGTGGGCGGTCTGGTCAGGCACATGCAGCCAATCATGTGTGGAGAGCGCAGCCTATTAAGCAGGAGAGGGCAGAGGGCAGCTAATTATTCTCAGCAGAGGGAAGTTCAGTCAGGCGTGGGCAGCCTGACCAATTTTTTTTTTGAAATTTTACTGCAAATTCGTCGTAAATCCAACACCACTTTTTGTATCTGATTTATATTCCACAGCAAATTCGCTGCAAATCGTATTTTGCGACATATTTTCCTTATTTTCCTGCGAATTTTTATTCCACAACTAATCCGCCACAAAAATTTGAGGATGTCATTAAACATATTGTGCAAACAAGTTGAGCCTCGTTATACAAAATTCTTTCTTATTTGACCAATAGGGTAACCGGGAGATGCTCTTTCATAAAATATAAGATTATTTGTTAATCTCTTAAGATAAAAGATTTTTGGGAGAAAAAATGACAAAAATTTCTCAAACTTGTGAAATCACATATTGCCTACTTCAATTAGAACTTCTTTCCTTATACATGAGCGTCAAGTTATAGATTAAATCTGTAGAAAACATCATATTGAAAATAAATATCTATAAGAAATTACAAGGACAAACATATACAATACTTATGTTTTCCCATAAGGCTCAATTTACTTCCATTGCTCTTGTGTATCAGATCCACATATTGGTGTTTGTTGTTTGGGAGGATGCTCATGAGGGCTTTAGAGGGATTGTAGGAGGGGTCAACCAAGGTTTAAATTTGCGTAAATAAGCCTCGAGGCAGTTTTCATCCATGAGGTGATGCATAAGCCTCAAGGCGGTGTGAGACATAAGCCTCACGGACGCAAAATTGCGTAAATGAGAATTTAAGGGTCTTAGCAGGTAAATAATAGCAAGATTCTATCATACAATACAAACATCTAAATGACAAGTGAAATTTGTGGAAATTAAGAAAAGAGATGCAATAAAATCATGTTCCAAAGTACAAAACCACAAAATTATAGTCTATCAGAACTCCCAAAGTACAATTAAGAAGGAACATATAAAATTCAATCATATCCTATCACTAAATGGGTCTTCAAGGAAATATTCTTCTCCAATTGTATCTATGAATGTCATATCTTCATCATCTTCATTGTGACTCACTTTTTTTTCCTGTTTAATAAGAATGATCTTTATCATGTTAATTGATCAAGGGAATCTTCTTCTCCATTCTGTTGATGTAAACATTGCTTTCAGAGGTTGTCTCACATCCAACAGTCTCTGCAATGTCAAATAAGATGTGGCGAACCTGTAGAATAAACTTGCATTAGGAATTGATAATGATTTGCATTGCACAAATGTAATAACATAACCTAGTGGTTGCAGGCGAATGATTTCCTTCTTTGAAAACTTTCTCATCAAGGCTAAGACCCATGGATCGATACAATGTGCTGCGCAGGGGGTCCAATATAGGTGTTTCCTCTTCTCCATCAACATCTGACCAGCTGCTTTGTATGCACTGACATTATCAGTCACCACTTGAACAACCAATTGCTCCCCAATCTCCTCAATAATTCCATATAGTAAATTGAAAATGAATGCAGCATTTTTAACCTCATCTGAAGCTTCAACTGATCGTAAAAACACTGTGCCGTAGGGATTGTTGACAAGGATGTTAATCAAGCTCCTGCTCTTCATGTCAAACCATCCATCACACATAATGGTTACACCAGTCTCAATCCATGTCCGTTTAATCTCATCAATGCTCCGCTCTATGTTCTGTAGCTCCTCCTTCAAAATCCATATTCGTAACTCGTACATGGAAGGTACCTTCAACCCTCTCTCATACAACCCTACAGACCGCAGCATATTGAAGTAAGCCGGCGATGTCGCAACATTAAATTGTATGGCATTCTAAAAAAAAAAAAAATCTGCCAATATCCATGCAAACCTGACGTTGACCCTCTTTGGTACTAGCCGCAGGCATCATCTCTGCTTGTCCTCTATCCTCTCCTGGATTAGTCATATACTGGTCCATCAGACCCCGTGCACCTCTATTATGTATAGTGTAGGAAGAGCCCTTTCCACTCTCACTCCCGAAGTAAGCACCATGTTTGACCCTTTCATCAAATTGCTCATGTTGTAAGTGTTTTGCCGTGGTACTTTTCTTCATGTAAGCAATAATTTCATGATTCACCTTGTCTGGCACATTTGCACACAGTGCTACGTTCTTATGAGAGCATGATAAGTGTTCCTTCATGCGGGTTACTCCGCCCTTCACAACTTTCTCGCAAAAATTACTTTTCAAATACACATAAGTCTTCTCACCGCCGCTTATGTCAACTTGTACACTGTATTTCCAAGAATGGTCCCTCCGCAATGACGGAATAGACTTTTCTTTGCCTTTAACCATATTTTCTAAAGTGAAAAAGCAAATTAAATCAAAAAATTTGAAACCCTAGCTTTCCTATAAGTTGAAAAATCTTATCCTAAATTAAAAAAAAACTCTAACAACTAATCAAGGAAGGATGAAGAGGGGTGGCCAAAATTAATGGGCTCACCAGCGAGCGGCGGCGCCGAAGGAAGAAGCGTCGGAGACGGTTCGGCCTGGAGCTCCTTGCGGGATCGGGAGCAGCAGGTCACGGGCACGTGAAGGATGCGGGATCGGGAGCAGCAGGTCACGGGTAAGGAGTTAAAGTGGGACCCAATCAAAATTGCGCACGCCTCAAGAAAAATTGCACAATTGCGCACTTGAGGCGCGCCTCACAATGCTTGAGGCGTACGCCTCTACTAAGGGCAAAATTGCGCAAGCCTCAAGGCGTATTTGGGCAAAATTGCACAAAGGCGCGCCTCTTATTGCGCAATTTTAAACAGATGGGTCAACATTTTTGGATGGTTCTATGTGATCTGTTGGTGGTAGTTGGGATAGTAATAATGTTGCTCATAAGATAGATGATATTATATAAATGAGTTTGCATGATAGTATATAAATGAGTTTGCCTTAGTAATGGTTAAGGAAAGGATGAAAAAGGTTGAAAAGGAATGATACGTGCATGATAGTATATATGAGTTAATCTTCTTTCTCAGCCCGTTGAAAATAGATGATATTTATAGTGGGGTGGGGCTGTCTTTTCTATTAAATAATGTCTTCAAAAAATAATGTTAGAAAACTATCAATTAATGTTAAATTAAAAGATTTTACAAATAAAATAAGAATAGTAATATCAAAATTTAATGTTAGGAAGTGCAAGCATGTCAATAGTGAAATTATAAATTTATATAAAATTGATAGACAAATATTGATTATTTTTTTCATTCAAATCAATATCAATTGTAGTTAAATCATTCCTTGTAGACACCAACCTCTATTTTTTAGTGAATCCATCAACCTTTTGTTATATTCCTTAGCATCATGTAAGTTTGTCATTAGTTTAGTATTAATAATATGTTGTATGAATTTTGACATCTCATCTTCTTGATTAGCAATCTCTATTAAATGTTAATGAGTAGTCCTACCTCTTGGCTTAATCACAATCATTACTAACCAATCTATCTTATCTTTAGTCATTTAAAATAGTTCGCATAGTACCCTGCATTAAAAAGGCATTCAATATGTACGCTGTGGTGCCCCTCAATTCGAGGCAGATCCATGGCGCATCGAGGCATAAGCCTCACCCGTTCGAGTGAGGCATGCAATATTTTTAAATGGGGCGTATGCCTTAAGGTGGAATGTCTCGAGCTGTTCAAGGTATCACCTCATTATTTTTTTTCCTTTTTAGAATTTCACGCGTATAATAAGTTTTAGGGTGTCTGTCTTGGCATCAGCTGCGAGTAGGGGTGTGAACGAGTCGAGTCGAGCTCGAGTCAGGGGGTGTTCGAGCTCGACTCGCGGGTCAAATACCGAGATCGAACTCGAGCCGAGCTCAAAAGTCAAGCTTGACTTGTGACACTGAAATGACATACATATATATATATATATATACATATATACATATATATTGTATATATACATATATAAATTTAAAAAATCCAAAAATTATTCGAGCCGGCTTGCGAGCTCATGAGCCGAGCCTCATCAAGCTCAAACTCGAACTCGTTTACTGAATGAGCTCGACTTGTGTGCTTGATAAGCTTGGCTCGCAAGCCCATGAACGAGTCGAGCTCGAGCCGGCTCGGCTCACTTACACCCTTAGCTACGAGTGTGAAGTATCACCTTGAAAGAGAAGCTCTCCCCCTCCGCTTACTTTGGAAACAACTGTCGAATCGACTGCGAGTGTGAAGTATCGCTTTGAAGGAGAAGCTCTCCGTCTCCACTTCGACAATGATTGTCAAATTTGTAAGGTGCTAAGAACGAATATAACGATCTTTCGTCATTTGAGCTTTTCCTTGACTTCGCTTGCTTCGTATGAAATAGAGTTTTGAATGAGTCGCTCTCCCATCACAATGAAGGTGATGAAATTTCTTTCGTTTCAAGCCTCGTTTTGGTTTCATTTGCTTCGTGTGAAGTAGAGCTCTAAATGATTTGATCTTAGCAACGAAGGATGAAGGTGATAAACTCTCTTTTCCTTCGAGCGCTATGCATCTGCTTTGGCTTACTACAGAAAAATTAGCTATTTGTGGCAGCAAAATTCACGGCGAGATTCGAGAAGTTCGCCGTAAATCTTTATTTGCAGTGGATTTGCGACAATATGGTTCTTATGGTAAAACGAGTGTCACAAACATATTTGTGATGAAATAATCTCTATTGAAATGATGGCTTCACTTTTGTGGTCCATCTCAGATTCCATCACAAACGTCGATACCAGATCGTTGTATTGCCATTTGCGGCAGATTTTTCGCCGCAAACCTATAACATAACAAAAAAAAGCTCATACAATCTTTTTTTTTTTGCATTCCAACATTAACAGTCCAAGTAGTTGTAAAAAATAGTTATGAAAAACAAATATAATTAAAGAATACTAGTCAAACTACACAAATTAATGAACAAACACTATAGGTAAACCAATGATTTTTGGTGAGCTTTACAGCGGAAATTTTTTTTGACAAAACTGTGATGGATTTGTGGCGGAAATTTCCCTCACAAATCTGCAGCAAATCTGTCACAAATAAGTGTATCTAAATCGATATCTAGCTCATTTCTTTCATTCACTCTTGACTTTGTTTGTTCCTCCTGCGCCCTCGCCCTCAGCAACTAGCCCCTTGCTGACGTTCCTTCGCGAGTCCTAACCGACGTGAATGTTCTTCGTCTCCTTCGTCGCTTTAAGGCCTTGCTCCTTCAATGATGTTCTTCCTGTTGGATCGGGATTGGAAGGAACAACGGGAGCTCGCTTGTTGTGAAGGTAACTTTCTCCTTTTCGCAAGCTTCTTCCGCTAAATCCCTTAAATCTGCCAAGCTAAAGGTTTATTAAATATGGGATTTAGCTAGGGGAAAAAGAGGGAAACAGAGGTTTTGTTGGTGGATCGGAAGTAACAATTGGAGCTCGCTTGCCGTGAAGGTAACTTGACCTAAGTATTTTCCAATTTATGTTGGATTACATCAAGCATCAACCTTAAGCCCATATCTTTTTGCTTTAGTCATGGATGTTCTTACTAGAGATTTGCAAGAGGATGTTCCCTGGTGTATACTTTTTGCTGACGATATTCTTTTTGTTGATAAGACTAAAGAGAGAGTTAAAGGTAAACTTGGATTAGGGAGGTCAACCTTAGAATCTAAATGTTTTCGTTTGAGTAGATCTAAAATCGAATACATGGACTGTAATTTTAGTAGTAAAAGATCTAGTGGGAGGTTTGTGACTTTGAGCAATCAAGTCAATAAGAGTACACGTTTTAAATATCTTGGGTCTATTATTTAGAGTGATTGCGAAATAGACGGGGATATTATTAGTAGAATTCAAGCTGGATGATTGAAGTGGAGGAATGCATTGGGCTTGTTGTGTGATAGAAAAATACCACTCAATCTTAAGGGAAAATTATATAAGATCATGGTTAGACCTGCAATGCTTTATGACACAGAATGTTGGCCATTGAAAGATAAGCATAATATTAAGTTAAGTGTTGCATTGATGAGGATCCTCAGGTGGATGAGTGGCGTTACTCTTAGAGACAGGATAAAAAACGAGCATATATGTGAAAAGGTTGGAGTAGATCCAGTGGCAGATGGTTGGAAACTTTTCCTTCATCCATGATTTGGTTTGCTCCACTTTTCCTTCCAAAGCATCCACCTTATTTGCTGTCATCTCTCAAAAAACTCGTTCTGATACCAATTTGGTACATTTTATAAATAAAAACAACAAATAAAAGAGAAGAACAACGTAGGAACACAAAAATATGTCTGATTTTCTTATTTCTCCTTCGAAAATAAAGCATTATATAATTGATCTACTATTTGAGAGGTAGATCAACTTTCCCATAAACCCTAGATACTGTTAGAACTCTCAACAAATACTAGGAAAAAAAGCATCAATCTCCTCCCTAAACTATAGACAAACTCCCCCTTAAATAGCCCTAGAACACAATTAGAACATTCCTTAATTAACAAAAACATGATTTAGGAAACCTTTCTAAAGAAATAGAATATTCCTAATCAACATAAATATAATTTAGAAAATCTTCTTAAATAATTAAACTTAATTTAGAAAACCTTCCTAAATAATTAAACACTTCATAAATAGCATAAACACAATTAGGAAACTTTCCTAAACAGTCCACTTTTTTTTAGAATAATAGATAATGGAGACACATGAATATGCATGGATCAAGTTTTCCTCGATTTTTTACACTGTTAAATAATTTTGTAAGCAAGGTTATTTGAGGCGTTGATGTGAAGAAAGAATTTGGTTAGAACTTGTGTATGACTCATGAATCCAAGAATCTTTTTAGGTAGCCAATATATGATGTGAGCAGCTGTTAAAATAGCTTCTCAGTAATATTGCTTTGAAACGTTGTTTTGAAAAAGGAGTCTTTGTGGTACCATATTTATTCTTTTATTCAACAGCTCCATTTTGTTGGATTGTATACACACAAGATAATTTATGCTTTTTTTTTCTTACAAGAATGAGCAAAGTGAATGGCTAAAAGTCTTTAGCATTGTAGGATTTAAATTTTTAATTTCAGTTCTAAATTGATTTTTGATCAATTGTAAAAGTTGAGAAAGATGATGTTCACATTACTTTTGACATTTAGTATAAATATCCATGACACCCTAGAACAATCATCGAAAAAAGATACAAATCTCTAAGTCCAAAAGATGTTATGCGTACACAAGATGGTACTTAAATGTCACTATAACTGATAGGAAAAATAATAAGATTTCTTGTGTCTTTTAATGGAAAGCTAGTACATTTGTTTTGCTCTAGTCCATAAACATCTTTTCATTGTTGATTTCTTCATTTAATGAAGAAAATATAATTTTGAGAGTA